CCACGCCCCACACTATATAAGGCTGCTTACACTACAGCCTTATGCAGTGTGTTGCTGGACACTGCAGAAGACAGGAGGGATAATTCTCTACCTAAAACAATTATAATAATAATAATAAACAAAAAAATAATAATAAATAATAAAAAAATAATAAAAATACAGCATCTTATCAAATCAATCTCGGTTTGATCAGTTACTATGGAGAAATCTGGGGTCTGTTGTACATCCCTTGTGATAGCAATAAAGTTAAAAAAAAAAAGTAAAGTGAGAGTAATAATTCTAGTGTTCAACCTCCTGTGTAACACTCTAAACTGGTAACCTGTAAAGGCTTTAAAGCATAGCCTATGGAGATTTTTAAGTATCATAATTTGTCGCCATTCCATGGGTGTACACAATTTTAGAGCGTGACATGTTAGGTTATTTACTTGGTGTAACATCATCTTTTATCTTTTACCAAAAATTGAGTATTATATTATGCTTGTGTGCACTAAAATTCATCAAAGTGTATTTTTTCCGGAAAATTTGCTTTTTAATAAAAAGCTGTGCAAATATTGTGCAACATAAAAAATTGCAACAACAACCATTTCATTTTGCAGGGCCTCGGTTTAAAAATGTATCTAATGTTTGGAGTAAGAATGTCAGCAAAGCATTTGTAGTATTCGTTGGTGAATCCATCTGGGCCAGCAAAGATTTAATAATTTGTATTATTTCACATGCTGTGAATGGAGTGTTTAGAGACTCTAGCTGCGTTGGAGATAAAGTTGGGAATGTGAGTTCAGATAAGAAGTTTTTAATCAAGTCTAAAGTGGGTTGAGGGGTATTAAGATTTTTAAGTTGCAGAGGGCGCTATAGTAGTCAGAGCATCAGTGATGTCTTGGGGGTTTTAAGCTTTTGTTTATTAAAGGCACAAAATAGAAAGGGTATTCTAAGCTTAGCATCTCGAGCCTTTAACCTGTGTACCAGGAGCTTGCCCACTTTGTTTTTGTGCGTATAGTTGTGAAGCGTAAGATGTCTAACATATTGGTCCTGCTGAGAACATAGCAAGGTTCTAACCTCATGGCGTAGTTTGGTTAAGAAGGCCAAGACGGATTCAGTAGGGCATAATTTATTTTGAGTCTCACGTTTGTGTAGCGGCTGAAGTATTTCAGAAAGTTTACTATTGAAATGGCGCTTAGCTTTAGCAATTGTATGAGAAGTCCTTGCATATAAGCTTTCTGGGTGTTCAATAGTGAGAATTTACCTATAGTTGGGGATACATTGTGAGAAAGAGAAACTTCAGAAAGATCTAGAAGTAGACTGAGGTTCACGCGCTGACCCATAATGCATTCCTTAATGACATGTGATCGCATTAGCCAATCAGCAGCCAGCCAGCCAGCACTGTGTAATGGTCGAGCTATAAATAGCGGCCATTTTAGAATTCTTCATTTGCCTCCAGTCATTCAAGAGAGGCAGACCGCTCTGTATTAGGGACAGAGTTAGGGCCACAGAAACGTTACTTGGGGACAGAGAAACGTTACTTAGGGACAGAGAAGCATTACTCAGGGACACAGAATTGTTAATGAGGGCCACAGAATCGTTACTTAGGGCCAAAGAAACGCTAGTTAGGGCCACAGAATTGTTACTCAGGGACAGACAGAATTGTTACTGAGTGCCAGAGAATTGTTACTGAGGGCCACAGAACTGTTACTTAGGGCCACAGAAACGTTAGTTAGGGCCACAGAATTGTTACTCAGGGACAGACACAGAATTGTTACTGAGGGCCAGAGAATTGTTACTTAGGGCCACAGAAACGTTAGTTAGGGCCACAGAATTGTTACTCAGGGACAGACAGAATTGTTACTGAGGGCCACAGAATTGTTACTTAGGGCCACAGAAACGTTAGTTAGGGCCACAGAATTGTTACTCAGGGACAGACAGAATTGTTACTGAGTGCCAGAGAATTGTTACTTAGGGCCACAGAAACGTTAGTTAGGGCCACAGAATTGTTACTCAGGGACAGACACAGAATTGTTACTGAGGGCCACAGAACTGTTACTTAGGGCCACAGAAACGTTAGTTAGGGCCACAGAATTGTTACTCAGGGACAGACACAGAATTGTTACTGAGGGCCACAGAATTGTTACTTAGGGCCACAGAAACGTTACTCAGGGCCACAGAATTGTTACTCAGGGCCACAGAATTGTTACTGAGGGCCACAGAAACGTTACTTAGGGCCACAGAATTGTTACTCAGGGACAGACACAGAATTGTTACTGAGGGCCACAGAATTGTTACTTACTGAGGGCCACAGAATTGTTACTTAGGGCCACAGAATTGTTACTCAGGGACACAGAATTGTTACTGAGGGCCACAGAATTGTTACTTAGGGCCACAGAATTGTTACTCAGGGACAGACACAGAATTGTTACTGAGGGACACAGAATTGTTACTGAGGGCCACAGAACCGTTACTTAGGGCCACAGAATTGTTACTCAGGGACACAGAATTGTTACTGAGGGCCACAGAACGTTACTTAGGGCCACAGAATTGTTTACTCAGGGACACAGAATTGTTACTGAGGGCCACAGAATTGTTACTTAGGGCCACAGAAACGTTACTAGGGCCACAGAATTGTTACTCAGGGACAGACACAGAATTGTTACTCAGAGGGACACAGAATTGTTACTGAGGGACACAGAATTGTTACTTAGGGCCACAGAATTGTTACTCAGGGACACAGAATTGTTACTGAGGGAGGGTTACACAGAATTGTTACTTAGGGCCACAGAATTGTTACTGAGGGACACAGAATTGTTACTGAGGGCCACAGAACCGTTACTTAGGGCCACAGAATTGTTACTCAGGGCCACAGAATTGTTACTGAGGGCCACAGAAATTGTTACTTAGGGCCACAGAATTGTTACTGAGGGCCACAGAATTGTTACAGGGACACAGAATTGTTACTCAGGGACACAGAATTGTTACTGAGGGCCACAGAATTGTTTACTGAGGGCCACAGAATTGTTACAGACACAATTGTTACTGAGGGCCACAGAAACCGTTACTTAGGGCCACAGAATTGTTACTCAGGGCAGACACAGAATTGTTAGGGCCACAGGGTTACAGGACACAGAATTGTTACTGAGGGCCACAGAATTGTTACTTAGGGCCACAGAATTGTTACTCAGGGGACACAGAATTGTTACTACAGAGGGACACAGAATTGTTACTTAGGGCCACAGAATTGTTACTCAGGGACAGACACAGAATTGTTACTCAGGGACACAGAATTGTTACTGAGGGCCACAGAATTGTTACTTAGGGCCACAGAATTGTTACTCAGGGACAGACACAGAATTGTTACTCAGGGACACAGAATTGTTACTGAGGGCCACAGAATTGTTACTTAGGGCCACAGAATTGTTACTCAGGGACACAGAATTGTTACTGAGGGCCACAGAACCGTTACTTAGGGCCACAGAATTGTTACTCAGGGGGACACAGAATTGTTACTCAGGGACACAGAATTGTTACTGAGGGCCACAGAATTGTTACTGAGGGACACACAGAGAATTGTTACTCAGGGACACACAGAATTGTTACTGAGGGCCACAGAATTGTTACTTAGGGCCACAGAATTGTTACTCAGGGACAGACACAGAATTGTTACTCAGGGACACAGAATTGTTACTGAGGGCCACAGAATTGTTACTAGGGGCCACAGAATTGTTACTCAGGGACACAGAATTGTTTACTGAGGGACAGACACAGAATTGTTACTCAGGGACACAGAATTGTTACTGAGGGACACAGAATTGTTACTGAGGGACACAGAGTTTGTTACTCAGGGACACAGAATTGTTACTCAGGGACACAGAATTGTTACTGAGGGACACAGAATTGTTACTCAGGGACAGACACAGAATTGTTACTCAGGGACACAGAATTGTTACTCAGGGACAGACAGAATTGTTACTCAGGGCCACAGAATTGTTACTTAGGGCCACAGAATTGTTACTCAGGGCCACAGAATTGTTACTCAGGGACACAGGGACACAGAATTGTTACTGAGGGACACAGAATTGTTACTGAGGGACACAGAATTGTTACTCAGGGACAGACACAGAATTGTTACTGAGGGCCACAGAACTGTTACTTAGGGCCACAGAACTGTTACTTAGGGCCACAGAAACGTTACTCAGGGACACAGAATTGTTACTCAGGGACACAGAATCGTTTAATTAAAGAGTATGTCAGACAACATGCAGAGGAGTGGCAGAGGAGGCAATGTTTTAGGAGCGAGCAGACGTGGCAGCAGAGGAAGGGGTCGAGGCAGCACTATTCGCAGCCAGAGGCTAGTGCTCCCGGTGTCATCCAGTACAGTGAGGAAGAGCTAACAGAGGGCGGTCAGGAACGGGGGGAGACATCCGCCTCTTCAGCAGCCAGGCGAAGAAGTAGTGGCGAGGAGAGTGGCTCGGTAGCCGGTGTAGAGACAGGTCTGTCTCCTGACCCACACGCAGCCGAGGGGGCTAGTAGTGAGGCGGAGACCCTAATTGATGATGATGAGGCTGATCGCACTTGGCAGCCCGTCGTCATCAGGCTATTGCTTCCGCATCATCAGGAGAAGAGGGTGGCAGCTTGGCAGCGAGCAAAACAGTCGGTGGGTTGTCTCCATCGCCACACTCTGCCATGTGCCACTTTCAGGTCTCCTCACACACTGCTGGTGTGTTGAATTTTTTGAACATAGGGTGCTGGCAGATTACGGGCCTCCCATAGCTGCTGCCAGGCCCCTAATCTGCCATGGGCCCCTATATACCCCCCTCCTCAGCTGCTGCTGCCATGCTGCTGGTCCCTGTCATGGGTCCCTGTACGGCCTCCCATTGCTGCTGTCTCCATCGCCACACTCTGCCATGTGCCACTTTCAGGTCTCCTCACACACACTGCTGGTGTGTTGAATTTTTTGACATAGGGTGCTGGCAGATTACGGCCTCCCATAGCTGCTGCCAGGCCCCTAATCTGCCATGGGCCCCTATATATACCGCCTCCTCATGCTGCTGCCAGGTCCAGAGTCTGTCATGGGTCCCTGTACGGCCTCCCATTGCTGTGTGTCTCCATCGCCACACTCTGCCATGTGCCACTTTCAGGTCTCCTCACACTGCTGGTGTGTTGAATTTTTTTTGACATAGGGTGCTGGCAGATTACGGGCCTCCCATAGCTGCTGCCAGGCCCCTAATCTGCCATGGGCCCCTATATACCGCCTCCTCATGCTGCTGCCAGGTCCAGAGTCTGTCATGGGTCCCTGTACGGCCTCCCATTGCTGCTGTCTCCATCGCCACACTCTGCCATGTGCCACTTTCAGGTCTCCTCACACACTGCTGGTGTGTTGAATTTTTTGACATAGGGTGCTGGCAGATTACGGGCCTCCCATAGCTGCTGCCAGGCCCCTAATCTGCCATGGGCCCCTATATACCGCCCGCCTCCTCATGCTGCTGCCAAGTCCAGAGTCTCTGTCATGGGTCCCTGTACGGCCTCCCATTGCTGCTGTCTCCATCGCCACACTCTGCCATGTGCCACTTTCAGGTCTCCTCACACACTGCTGTGTGTGTTCAATTTTTTGACATAGGGTGCTGGCAGATTACGGGCCTCCCATAGCTGCTGCCAGGCCCCTAATCTGCCATGGGCCCCTATACCGCCTCCTCATGCTGCTGCCAGTCCATGTCTGTCATGGGTCCCTGTACGGCCTCCCATTGCTGCTGTCTCCATCGCCACACTCTGCCATGTGCCACTTTCAGGTCTCCTCACACACTGCTGGTGTGTTGAATTTTTTGACATAGGGTGCTGGCAGATTACGGGCCTCCCATAGCTGCTGCCAGGCCCCTAATCTGCCATGGGCCCCTATATACCGCCTCCTCATGCTGCTGCCAAGTCCAGAGTCTGTCATGGGTCCCTGTACGGCCTCCCATTGCTGCTGTCTCCATCGCCACACTCTGCCATGTGCCACTTTCAGGTCTCCTCACACACTGCTGGTGTGTTGAATTTTTTGACATAGGGTGCTGGCAGATTACGGGCCTCCCATAGCTGCTGCCAGGCCCCTAATCTGCCATGGCCCCTATATACCGCCTCCTCATGCTGCTGCCAGGTCCAGAGTCTCTCATGGGTCCCTGTACGGCCTCCCATTGCTGCTGTCTCCATCGCCACACTCTGCCATGTGCCACTTTCAGGTCTCCTCACACACTGCTGGTGTGTTGAATTTTTTGACATAGGGTGCTGGCAGATTACGGGCCTCCCATAGCTGCTGCCAGGCCCCTAATCTGCCATGGGCCCCTATACCGCCTCCTCATGCTGCTGCCAGGTCCAGGCGAACGTAGTCACACAGGGGAGGAACTTCTCAGTGTAATGAACAGAGAAATCGACAGATGGCTGTCTCCGCGCAAACTGAAAATCGGAACCATGTTGACCTCCACACAACGGAAAGAACATGGTGTCTGCTCTGCGTCAAGTAAGGTTGTGCCATGCGCCATGCATGGCTCACGTGTTCAATCTGTTGTGTCAAGCGGTTCCTAAAATCCACCATCCCACTGCAAGACATCCTTAAAATGTCACGTAAACTTTGCATGCATTTCAGCCATTCCTACACCGCAAAGCACACCCTCCTTGAGCTGCAGCGGCAGAACGGAATTGCACAGCATCGCCTGATCTGCTGCGACGTTGCAACAAGGTGGAATTCAACCCTACACATGTTAGACCGCCTTTACGAACAGCGAAAGGCCATCACCGATTTCCTGATGTTACAAGTGGATAAAGGTACTCCCCCTGTGTAACTTCGATGTCAGCCATTGGCAGCTCATGCGTGACACCTGCCGCTTGCTCAGGCCCTTTGAGGAGGCCCACGCTATTCGTGAGTCGGCAGGACTATGGGATGAACGACGTCATTCCTCTGTTGCACGTCCTGGAACAAATGCTGTTAACAATGGCTGGTCAGGGTGCGGTAGACGTGGCGCACAGATCTCAACGCCACATGACCCCTGTGGGGGCAGGACAGGAAGAAGAGGAGGAGGTAGAGGAGGACATTGGTGCTCAGGAATAATTGAGTGAAATGGGTGGTTTTTCCACTCAGCGGACAGGAGTGGAGGAGCAGGAGCATCTGGTAGAGGAGGAGGAGGAGAGAGACAGAGGACCCAGACGCACCGTGGCAGTATGCTGTGGAGATGGAGGCAGGGAGTCCCTCGCATTCCTTGGCACAAATGGCCCATAGCATGCTCGGTTGCTTGCGTAGCGACAGCCGAATAATAACCATCAGACAGAGGGATGACTTTTGGCTGTCCACCTTGTTGGACCCTCGCTACCGTTCAAAATGGTGGCCTTTTTCACACCTGCTGAGAGGGAGGCCAAAATAACGTACTATAAAAACCACCTATGTAGTCAGTTGGTCTCTGCCTTTCTGCGCCAATGTCCATCCTCAGACACTGTGGGCCCTGTGCGCTCGCGTTCCGCTGCCATGGCAGCAGGGGAGGGGTGGGGTGGTAGGAGCAGTGGCAGCTCCACCAGCAGCGGCTGCCTCAGTCTGCAGTCGATGATGAGTAGCTTTCTTCACCAGCGCAGTGAGGAAAACTAATAACCAGGCCAGCTAATCAGGTGGCCCCTGGAGCAGCAGCACTTGGACAGCAATCAGGTGGACCTGGATTGCAGGAAACCTTTGGCCCCAACTAGCTGAATTTGCCCTTGAAAGCTGTCATGCCCGGCCAGTAGCGTGGCATCGGAGCGCGTGAATTTTTTGTGCGGCAGGAGGTATTGTAACTCCGCGGAGGACACGACTGTCCACCCAAAGTGTGGAGAGACTCACGTTTGTGAAAATGAATCAGGCGTGGATTCTGTCTGGATTTCAAACCACCAGTTCCTGACACAACTGACTAAATCCGCCATGAATCATGCCCCAAACATGTGCCACTTTCAGGTCTCCTCACACTGCTGGTGTGTTCCATTTTTTGTCATAGGGTGCTGGCAGATTACGGGCCTCCCATAGCTGCTGCCAGGCCCCTAATCTGCCATGGGCCCCTATATACCGCCTCCTCATGCTGCTGCCAAGTCCAGAGTCTCTCATGGGTCCCTTTACGGCCTCCCATTGCTGCTGTCTCCATCACCACACTCTGCCATGTGCCACTTTCAGGTCTCCTCACACTGCTGGTGTGTTCAATTTTTTGACATAGGGTGCTGGCAGATTACGGGCCTCCCATAGCTGCTGCCAGGCCCCTAATCTGCCATGGGGCCCCTATATACCGCCTCCTCATGCTGCTGCCAAGTCCAGAGTCTGTCATGGGTCCCTGTACGGCCTCCCATTGCTGCTGTCTCCATTGCCACACTGTGCCATGTGCCACTTTCAGGTCTCCTCACACTGCTGGTGTGTTGAATTTTTTGACATAGGGTGCTGGCAGATTACGGGCCTCCCATAGCTGCTGCCAGGCCCCTAATCTGCCATGGGCCCCTATACCACCTCCTCATGCTGCTGCCAGGTCCAGAGTCTCTCATGGGTCCCTGTACGGCCTCCCATTGCTGCTGTCTCCATCGCCACACTCTGCCATGTGCCACTTTCAGGTCTCCTCACACACTGCTGGTGTGTTCCATTTTTTGTCATAGGGTGCTGACAGATTACGGGCCTCCCATTGCTGCTGCCAGGCCTGTAATCTGCCATGGGCCCCCGTACCGTCTGGTCACGCTGCTGCTGGGTCCACAGTGTGACATGGGTCCCTGTACCGCCTCCCCATTGCTCCCACTCTGCCATGTGCCACTTTGAGGTCTCCTCACACTCCTGCTGTTTTCCATTTTGTCATAGGTTGCTGGCAGATTACAGGCCTCCCATAGGTGCTGCCAGGCCCCAAATCTGCCATGGGCCCCCGTACCGCCTCGTCACGCTGCTGCTGGGTCCACAGTGTGACATGGGTCCCTGTACCGCCTCCCATTGCTCCCACTCTGCCATGTGCCACTTTGAGGTCTCCTCACACTCCTGCTGGTTTCCATTTTGTCATAGGTTGCTGTATGGCCTCCCATTGCTGCTGCCTCCACCGCCACACTGTGGCTCCAAACACTGGTTTTGGCCCCGTGACTGGCCAAATGAGTGAAGTGTGCGGTGATTCTAAGATCGACGGCACTCATCTGCATGTCATACTGACTGACAGTTTTATTTCTCTTCCCCAGCAGACTCCAAGGGCATTTAAATTAAAGGTACAGTGTTCTGCACTAATATTAAGTCTCTCTGAAGCCTAGAAACACCCTTTTTTAAGTTAAATTCACAGCGAATATATTCGACTCGAATCGAATATTGTCCACGAATTCGCCGAATCAGTCGAATCGAATTTTTGAATACTTCGCTCATCTCTAATTGCTAGGGATTTCAGCTGGTAGAAATGATGGTTTAGGTACTTGATAAATTCTATCAGTTGTTACATTTGCAGAAGTTAGATTTGGTATCACCATTGAAAATAGATCTCTCACATAGTGGGGAAGCTGTGAGGATTGATTTGTTTCAGGGATACCCCAAATTTTCAGATTGTTTCTGCGGGATCTGTCTTCCACCCCAACCCACCAGTTTAGCTTTAGTCCAGGAGATGTCCTCCACCTGTGCTAAGTCAGAATCAACAAGAGTGTTATAGTTCTCTGTAAAATCACACATTGAGTGCTCTATATCACACATTGAGTGCTCTATATGCTCTACACATTCCCCCAGGTGTTGGTGAATGCAGGCTAATACATCAACTTGGAGTGAGGCCCTGAGAGAGATGAGCATGTCCTTGAGCATAATATTTGAGACTGGCTGCCCATTGGTGAGGAATGTGACTATAGGATCTGTGTTGCTGGTAGACAAATGTGGTTCTGTGTCTGACCCTACCTCCTCTGGCATATCTTCTTTGTGTGATGGTGGAGGGTCCCTGCATGGCTTAGATCTAGCTGGGCTGCAGAAGGTAGGGGTGGATGTCCTAGACCTCACTGTGTCTCGGCTGCTATTTCCATGGCAGAGGAAGAGGGCGTAGGCATTGACAGTAGAGGAGCAATAGTGGGCCGAGAGCTGTGGGAGCCACCACCATTTTGTTGTAACCTCTGGGGAAGAGAATGGAAGAAACCTGAGAGTTTCTGAGGTGGTGGTGCGAGGTGGTGGTGCATCTCTCTTTCTTCGGGGCATGGTGTAAGCTTTCATACACCCAATGATGTGAAGGGGACCAGATGCGGGCTCTTGTAGATGTGGTATCTCCCAGCTGTCATGAGTAACTCCCAGCTTAACCAGCCATCTTGCTGAGCAGTCACCATGCCCCCCTATCCCTTACATCTTAACCAAAATGTGGCATGGTAGTTCCAGGCAGGGCACCTCTGAGTAACAGGAAATAGCTTGAGCTTTCCATTGAAAATCTGCAAAAGTCCATAAATATCCAAAAATACTGGACATTAAAAATTTTACTTTTGGAATACGTTTTGGTGTATTTTGGCTGCTAATCACAAAAAAACCCTGCAATGCAATCACTTACCATTTTATAGAAATATTCTTTTTTTGCAATTTGTATTTGCAATATCTGTTGTTGAAGCACATCCAGTACACCAAGCACAACTGGAAAGGCTGTGCAGATCTAAACGTAGTGGCTCTGCTGCTTGGAATGCAGCTTGGATATACAGAGTAATGTTGTTACATATACAAATGAGACATTACATTTCAATAAAATGAAATGGCCATTTTGAAAAAAATTGCTTCTGGGAAAACATGACAGGTGAACCACTTGTTGACCCTAAAAAGACATTTTAGCCTCCACATCACATAAACCCCGAACTGAACTAAAATTTAGTGAAAGCCATAAGCAAGGAAGATGAAGGTTTTCATTATCTGAGATCTGTTTTCAAAAATAACTGATGCCAAGATTAGGGAATGCATTTTTGTTGGTCAACAGATAAGATACGTCATCAATGAAAATGTGGTTTGAAGACCTGTTGGTGGGGAGAGGAAAAATCACCTGGAAATTATTCAAGGATATCACTGACAATTTTCTATGTAACAACAGAGCACCAGACTACATTTTCAGCATTCAAGATCATGATGTGCAACATGTCACTGAATATTCATCTTCTGTATTCATAATTGGACTTCTTTCCCAAATATCTAGGTGCCGTTAGTAAAAAAATATAGTGAAAGGTTTCACCAGAACAATGCCACAATAGAAAAATGGCATCAGGATAACTTGAATTCATTAGTGCTTGCTAACTATTGTTGGACACTGCAGTGCGATGCATCAGACACTGAGTTCACTGGGATATTGATCTGGTCACTTAAGTAGCAGAGGGGGTTGTTAATCATTTTCAGCTGCTTTGGTGTTGATGAAATTAACAACAGGTGCACTAGATGGGCAACGATGAGATGAGCCACAAAACAGGAATGGTTTTACAGGTGGAGACCATTGATATTTTTTTTCCCTACTCGTCTTTTCTGACTGTTTTTCACTAGTTTTGCATTTGGCTACGGTTGTTGTCTTTACTGGTAGCATAGGCGATACCTGGACCCTACAGAGATTGCACAAGCAGTCCACATCCTCCAGGATAGTTCATCAATACATGTCATTGCCAGAACGTCCCAGCACAGTCTCAAGATCATGGAGGAGATTCCAGGAGACAGGCGGTTACTCTAGGAAAGCTGGACAGGGCTGTAGAAGACCCTTAACCTATCAGCAGGACTGGTTGTCAGAGCCTGGGTCCGAACCTGGGCCTTCTGCGGTGAGTGGCAATGTTTCCTCTTGCTGAGCCACATGGAATGCTGGGCAGCTCCCTTGACAATCATTTGGATGATCCTACCTTGACCTTGTTTATCATGAACCTTGAACATCTTGCTCTCCCATGAACTTCCTGATATAAGCCATGTCTCTGCACTTCCTGTTTGCCAGATTATGTGCTCTCCAGCCAGTATCATGCGCCTTATCATCTCTGCTGTTATCTGTATTTTGCTATCACTCGTTATTGACCCTTGGTTTGTTCTCGACTACGCTTCTGCCTGATCCCAACCTGCGACTGCTCCTTACCGACCTTGGCTTGTTTACTGACCACGCTTCCGTTTGATCCTTACCTGTTTATACACTACTGGACCTCCGCTTGCTCACCTCCTGGTGGGGTGATCCTGAGGACCGCGACCTGGTGTTAACACAGCAGCCAAATCCATCTCCACCATTAGGAGCTCTGGTGAACACCAGTTGGTACTTGGACTCCGTGCCTCGGGTGATCCCACTGCTCCGCCACGGTGACCTGCCTGTTTACCTATCCTGCTGTTTCAGGTAAGCCTTTCCACTGCTATAGCAACTGGTCTTTGAGCCTGACCCCTAATCGTGACACATATCTTAAGATACTCTCTAAGCCCATGGAATCTCTGGGAAAACTAGTCCTTACCCAATATTTCCTCCCAAGTATGGAGAACTCTGAGGGATAGCATTGTGGACATAGTTGCAGCTCCAACTAGTTGAAATGTGTTTTCCCTTCAACAACTAACCTTTTCTCTGATTGGAAGACGGTAATCTTTCTGAATTGAATCTACTTATTGGTCCTATTATACAGAAGACTGTAGCAGGATCTGGTGTGCTGGAGATGTAAGCAGGGACATACAGATGTATCACAAATTATTTTTTCCTGTTCTCTTCTTCCTCTTTTCCAGCTCAAGTACACTATATTGAGCCTGACCCCTGATTGTGACACTGGTATCCGCTCCATTGTGCAAGGAGGAACAGGATGAACACTGCCAGAGCCCTACAAAATGACCTCCAGCAGGCCAGTGGTGTGAATGTTTCTGACTAATCAGAAACAGACTTCATGAGGGTGGCCTGAGGGCCTGACATCCTCTAGTGGGCCCTGTGTTCACTGCCCAGCACCATAGAGCTCAATTGGCATTTGCCATTGAACACCAGAATTGGCAGGTCCGCCACTGGGGCCCTGTGCTTTTCACAGATGAGAGCAGGTTCACCCTGAGCACATGTGACATACGTGAAAAGATCTGGAGAAGCCGTCGTTATGCTGCCTGTAACATCGTTCAGCATGACCATTTTGGTGGTGGGTCAGTGATGGTCTGGGGAGGCATATCCATGGAGAAACACACAGACCTCTACAAGCTAGACAATGGCACCCTGACTGCCATTAGGTATCGGGATGAAATCCTTGGACCCATTGTCAGACCCTACACTGGTGCAGTGAGTCCTGGGTTCCTCCTAGTGCACGATGATGCCCGGCCTCATGTGGTGAGAGTATGCAGGCAGATCCTGGAGGATGAAGGAATTGATACCTAAGAATGGCCCCCATGCTTGCCTGACCTAAATCCAATAGAACACCTCTGGGATATCATGTTTCGGTCCATCCAATGCCGCCAGGTTGCACCTCAGACTGTCCAAGATCTCAGTGATGCCCTGGTCCAGATCTGGGAGGAAATACCCCAGAACACCACCCGTCGTCTCATTAGGGGCATGCCCTGACATTGTTAGGCATGCATACAAGCACGTGGGGCCATACAAACTACTGAGTATCATTATGAGTTGCTGCTGCAATGAAATTTCAGCAAAATGGACTAGCCTGCTGCATCATTTTTTCACTTTGATTTTCAGGGTGTCTTTGAATTCAGTCCTCTGTAGGTTGATAATTTTCATTTCCATCAAACGATGGGGCATACTTATGTTCCTAACACATTACCCAGTCAATATCAGTATAGATATCCAGCATGGTATTTTTCCCTCTTGAGATCTGATGTGTTTTCAAAGTGTTCCTTTAATTTTTTTGAGCAGTGTATATTATGATCAATGAAAGTTAATTAGAACCAAAGGAAAAAGAGGACTAGTTGTGGACTCAACAAGATTAGAGTGGGTTTCTACAACAACCATTATATATATAGATACTGTATGTGGCTAGGATGTAAAATCAATACCCTTAATTGTACAAAAAATAAAATATTACTGCATAGACGCCCTCTGATACTATGTTCTGTTACTTCAACAGCTGTCCTCATGCACACTGGATGTTTTTACAGCTGCTGCTTTTGGCATTTTTTCTACAGCCAGTAAATTCTCCAGCATGTTATCCTATGTGCCCATGCATACATAGGCTTTAATCAAATTTTATTTTTTGGCAGGGGCGTTTTTTGGCTGGAAAAAAAAAACCCCTGAGGTAGTAGGTTTCTAGAGGAATTTTTTAGCTGTAAAAACACTCTAATGCAGGTAAACACAGAAAAAACATGGTAAAACGCT